AGATGGCTTCAAGGCTGAATTCTACCAAATATTCAGAGAAGATATATCACCAGTTCTACTTAAATTATTTTTTAAAAAAATTTAAAAAGAAAGCATATATACTCCCGAGTCGTTCTATCAAGTAAGCAAAACCAGGTAAACATGTTACAAAAAAGAAATTTACCATATTCCAAGATCTCTCATGAATATAGATGCAAAAATCCTTAATAAAATACTAGCCAATAGAATTCAATTGCATATCAAAAAAATAATTCATCATGACCAAGTGGGATTCATAATGATATGCAAGGATGATTCAATATAAGGGGGAAAAAATAAACATATTTCATCACATTAACAAAGCAAGTACCAAGAATCACATGATCCTATCAATTGGTGCAGAAACAGTCCGTGACAAAATGGAACACCCCTTCCTGATTAAAACATTCAGCAAAATAGGAATAGAAGGGAATTCCTTCAACATTGTGAAAAGTATATATGCAAAATCAAGTGCCAATATCATTCTCAATGGAAGAAGACTGAAAGCATTCTTGCAATCAGGTGTCCACTATTATCATTCCAATTCAATATTGTACTGGCAGTACATGCTAGGGCAATACAAGAGAAGAAAACAAGAGGCCTCCAGATGGGCAAAGAGATGGTCAAACTGTCACTATATAAAGATGATATTATACTGTAAACAGAAAACCCCAAAGACACAACCAAATATACTATTAGAGCTAGAAGACCAATTCAGTATTGTTGCAGGATACAAGACCAATATACAAAAGTCAGTGAAATTCCTCTACAGTGACAAAGAAAGCACAGTAGTCAACCACAAATTGTAATACGTAGGAATAAACCTAACTAGAGACACAAAAGATCTTTATAAAGAAAATTATTGAACATTTCTGCTAGAAACAATAAAGGACTTTAAAAAATGAGGAAATGTTCCCTGTTTGCTTATGGATGTTTTTGTCGTTGTCATGTGCCATCAAGTCACCTGTGACTCAGCGATCCTATACCTTGCTCTATCCTGTGCCAATCTTAATGTTTCTGACACAGCTACACCCATTACCCCAGTCACTGAATCCATCCATCTCATCCAGGGTCTTCCTCTCTTGTGCTGTCCTTCCTCCTCCCCAAGCATGAGGTCCCTCTCCAAAGACTGGGCCCGCCTTGCAACATGTCAGACAAAATATGTCAGACAAAGCTTCAGAATCTTTGCCTCCAAAGAGCAGCCTGGTCTCACCCTCTCTAGGATGAACCTGTTTGTTCTCTTAGCAGTCCATGGTATATTCAATACCCTCCTCCAGCTCACAGGCATCAATTCTCCTTCTGTCATTAGTCATTAGTCATCCCTAGTCATTATCCAGCTTTCTGATGCATAGCAAGTAATTGCAAAGACTATGGCCTGGGTTAAGTGCACCTTAGTCTCTAGACTGGCACCATTGCTCTTCAGACTTTGGAGAGGTCTCTGAGAGTCTTTTCCCCAATGCAATTCATCTTTTAATTTCCTGGTTGCTGATAGAGTGTTGATTGTAGAGCCAAGCAAACTAAAGCTATCAATAATCTCAATCTCTTCACCGTCTATCATGATGCTTCCAATCTGCCCAGTGGTTAGAATCTTTGTTTTCCTGACGTTGAGCTTCAATCCATATTGAAGGCTGCAATCCTTGACCTTCTGCAGCAAGTGCTTCAGGTCCTCCTCAGTTTCAGCAAGCAAGGTTGTGTCATCTGCATAACACAGTTTGTTGGTGAATCTTCCACCAATCCTGATGCCACATTCCTCCTCATAGAGCCCAGCCTCCCAGATAATCTGTTCTGCATATAGATTGAAGAGATATGGAGATAGGACACATCCTTGATGCACACCCTTCCCAATTTTGAACCATGCAGTGTTTCCTTGCTCCATTCTGACAACTGCCTCCTGCCCAAGTATATTTTGCATAAGCACAATCAAGTATTCTGGGATTCCCATTCTTCTCAAAGTCAGCCACAGTTTGTTGTGATCTATACAGTCAAATTCCTTTGCATAGTCAATGAAACACAGATAGACATTCCTCTGGTACTCTCTGCTTTCAGACAAGATCCATCTGACACAAGTTATAATATCCCTAGTGCCACGACCTCTTCTAAATCCAGCCTGCAATTCAGGCAGTTCTCTATTAATGTGCTGTTCTAGTTGGTTTTGGATGATTTTCAGCAGAATCTTGCTTGCATGTGATATCAATTTCAGCAGAATCTTGCTTGCATGTGATATCAATGATATTTTTCAGTAATTTCCACACTCTGTTGGATCACCTTTCTTTGGAATGGGAACAAATATAAATCTTTTCTTGTCAGTAGGCCTGGTGCTTGTCCTCCAGATTTCTTGGCACAACTTGGTGAGCACATCCAGGGCAACATCTGGGCAACATTGTTGATATATGTCAATTGGTATGCCATAAATTCCTGGAACTTTGTTTACTGCCAGTTCTTTCAGAGCACCTTGAACTTCCTCCTTCATAACCACAGGTTCTTGCTCCTACATTGTTTTATGAAATTCTTCTGTGTCTACCAATTTCTTTTGGTACAATGACTCTGGCACTCTTTCTATCTTCTTCTAATGCTTCACAGAAATAGAAAAGGCAATATTGTCAAGCTTATTTGGAGAGGAAAGAGACCTAAATAAGCAAAGCTCTTTTTAAAAACAAAAATGAAGTGAGAGGCATAGCACTTCCTGATCTCAAAACTTAGTATCAAGCTGTAATAACCAAAACAGCATGGTACTGATACAATGACAGGCACATAGTACGATGACAGGCACATAGAACAATAGAACAGAATAGAGAACCCAGAAATTCAGCTATCTGTCTATGGTCAACTGATATTTGATAAGAAAATGAAACCTATCAAATGGAAAAATGACAACCTCTTTAACAAATGGAGCTGGCAAAACTGGACTACTACCTGCAGACAGCTGAAACAGGATCCACATCTCACACCATACACAAAAATCAACTCAGGGTGAAACAGAGACTTAGGGGTAAAGGCCCAAACCATAAAGATCATAAAAGACAAAGTGGGATCAAGCTTAGAAGGCCTAGCCAACCAGGATCTGTCAGTAGCTGTAGGTAAGCAGCTGTTAGATATGTAGTGCTCATCCTTAGCAGCAAACCCAAATGTTGTTGAAAAATAATAGCAATTGAGACCTTCTTACTACACCTTCATGTAAAACTGGACTAGCACTATACCATATCCCATCCCCATCTCTTTGGACTAAATTCAGGAGATAGATGTCCTGATGGAGAAAGACTAATTTGTGTGCAAATAACATGTACATCTTATGGCTCTTTTAACAACCTGCACATCTCCCTTGTGCATTAATTTCCTCACTATGTTTGATGCAAAATGAATTTTCTGATGATATAGATAAGGAAGGATTGAGCTGTTAATTAAAAATAACAAAGGAACATGGACTCGTGAGAGGCAGGAAAAAAGGCCTGGTGCTTGTGCCAAAATCAGAGATCAAGGTTAGGTCTCTGGTTATAATTCATTTCCTAGAGTCTGTCCCAAGCCTCCTAGAATCGGTTCATCTTATTACATCATCATTCCAGGAACCCCTCCAGCATGACACATTGTTATGTCTTAATGTTCCCCAGGATAAGCCACTAAATTGCCCCAGTGTTTTATTCATTTTTTCATCTTGGTCAAATGTGCATGAGAATAAAATAGATAGTGGAAGTGCAGGCTCACTGTTCTCAGGACTGCACAGCCCCCATGCTTTGTCAAACCCACTAGTTGTTCCATGGAGAAAGATAGATAAACTCCTCTTATGTGACTTACTGCCTCTGGAAACTGAGTGAAGTCCCTTCCAATTTGAGAGCAATGAGTGTCTTGAGTTTTGACCTAGACCATGATTTCCATATACCTAAAGACAGAGGCCTGCCTGGGACCATTAGAACAGGGCCTTCTTTAGGGCATGCACCAGTCTCAGAGTTTGAAGTCATGAACTCCCGTCTTTCCATTCTCCACCTGCCCAGAATGCACCCTGATGTCCACTCCACTGACATCAGAGTCCTCTAGGGATAGCACCAGCTGGCCTCAGTGACTTTGTGAAACTCCTACATAATAGGACAGTGTCCCTCTTGTAGCTCTTAGCTCAGACCTGAGGACAGAGATATGGCCCAACACACCATCCTACCTGCTGTAGATTGCTGTGTTCCTTGTGCTAATTGCCATCATATTTTAAGCTCAATATATCTTCTAAATTTTTACACTGTCTCCTGAAATGAGTATTATGAACCTCAATTTCCAGATAAGTAACTGAAGCCCAAAGAGAATGCGTGGTTTACTGACTCCCAGGCATTTACGTCCACATTAAAATATAGATGCATTTTCATGCCTCATCTCTAGTGCTCAATAACTTGTCTAACAAATGAGAAACTGAGGCAGGAGCAGTGGAGTTAGTAAGACAAGCTTGACACTCTAGGGCAGACCTTTTCCCAGGATCTACATTCTTTCCCAGCTGACTTGAAGTCTTTCTGAGTGTTTTGTTGTGGCTTCCATATTTGGAGGACGTTTATATTGTCTGTTTCCTGGATTCTTAACGTTTCCATGGCCCAGGAGATGGAACATACATATATCACCCTGTCTCCAGATTCTTGCGAGCCAAGCTGGCTCATAGGAAATGAGAATCAATCCTAATTTGGGGTCAATGACCCAAATGAGAATGTGGCTGCTCAGTGTGCACTGCCCTTCCCACAAGCCCTCTGTGTTTGTCAGATGTTTATAGAGCCTTCATTAACAGAAAGCTTCATTAGATAAGGGGTATGAGTATGACAGTAGAGCCAGATAAGTACTTGGAGGACACAGGATTGCCTGTGGTGAGAGCCTGAGAACAGATGCCTCCAGAGGACTGAGACTGCAGAGTAATGTGGGTCCGCTCCCCCAAGACTGCTCCCTGTGCCCATTAGACCACTACTGCCCCTGAGCCCACAGTCCCTAGTCCAGTGAGAGCACCAGATCACCTTCCCAGAATGAGCACTATGGCTCTGTGGGGAGTTTTGCTCCTGTTCTCCCTCTTGGCTTGCTCCCTACAAGCAAAGCCACTGGAGAGCTGGGGGCATGTGTCTACTGGAGGCAATGCCCACACCATGCTAGAAGAGTCACAGAGGAACCAGAATGAGAACGCCTTTGACTTGAAGATGTTTCTGGAGAACATGAAGGTGGACTTCCTGCGCAGCCTCAGACTGAGTGGTGTCCCTTCCCAAAACAAAACCAGAGTGGAGCCACCACAGTACATGATCGACTTATACAACAGGTACATCACTAACAAGTCATCCATCCCAGCCTCCAACATCGTGCGGAGCTTCAGTGTGGAAGGTAGTGTTGACTGGGGAGGGACTCATGGGTCTGTGGTCCAATACAGTGGCTCTATCCAAAATACTGGCAGCTAGCCACACTATAGGTTCAAAATAACCTAATTAAAGTTAAATCAAGTTTAAAGTTTGGTTCTTTCATTGCTCTAGCTACAGCTCAAGTACTCTGTGGTCATGTTTGGCTTATGCTATTGTATAAGACAATATATATTCTAGGACATTTGCTATCACTGTAGAGTTTTCGTGGAAGGTGCTACTCTACAGTGTCCTCCTTCATAGGACCCAGTGCCACAGTTAATATAGTCGATGCTCAAGGAGTGCTCACTCTTGTTCTGTGGTCCCTTTCCTATCTTTCTCCCATTATTCTCCCTTTTTCTCTCTCCTCTTCCTTACTCTAATCAAAAGCCCTTTGCTCCCTCACCCATCCCATCTCACTCCCTTTTTTTTCTCTTCCCTCCTTTCTTCTCCATTCTCTTCCTGTCCCTCACCACTTAGAAACAGAAATTTGTTTAGCCTTCAACTGATATGCTTCCAGATTTTGTAAGAATCTTTGGAAGAAGTAAGAGAATTTCTATCTTATGAAAAGGGTTTTGAATTAGAATAAAATCCTTTCAGAAAAAAATCTTTCAGATAACTTAAATAACATAATATTCCTGATTTAAAGGAAAAGAAGTTGCCTAACACTCACTAAGTTGCCTTACTGATTTTCCTAAAGAGACCTCTGATACTTACAGATCACTGGAGGAACTTGCCAAAGGTCACACAGATACTTGGATTTTGACCTATCTCACAGCAAGCCTCTCCCATCTGCTGAGTCTCCCTCAGAGCAGTCAGGAGTTCAGGGAATGTCTCTCCTAGGCTTGGAAACTGAGTGCAAAGGCAGCCCTTATTGAGCTTTAACAGTATTAATATGTAATCCTCAGAGCATATGCTCCCACTATGTGTTGTAATACAAATGAAAATCCAATAGGGCATTATTTTCTTATTGTATAGAAAAATAGAAAAAATCTACATAATGCTACCAACACAGAGGGTGAATCTGTGACCTCAGCTTTAGAAGTGGGTCCTCTTTGGATGTCTGTATTCTGGACATTAAAATCTTAGAGGGTAGCCTTTTGGAGCCACCTAGTGGTAGTCAGGCCACGTGTGCAAGTCCAGGAAGCACTGGCTGGCCCTAGCACAGTCTGGACCAGCACTCTTGTAGATGCTTATTCCCTACACACATCAGAATGTCACCCATGAAGGAGATAATATTTTCCTAAGTGTCCACTGTCATTCAAAAGCCATTTTCAAGAAATTTCCATGTCAAAGGCACTTGAAGTAACTATTGTACTATTCATAGACTCAAATTATTAAAATATCCAATGATTCAATGTGTGGAGATCAAATGGTATATTAACTCCAAGTGGATAAAAACCACATATTTTGGGAGGGGTGGGAATGGGGTGCATGCTTGGAGAAGAAATAGACAAAACTACTCACTGAGCTCTGCCAGAAGCCAGGTATTGTGTTGAGTAAATCTCATGTGCCATCTCAACCCTACCAGACTCATATTAAGAGTTATACTAGCCCTTCGAGGCAGATAGAAAGAGCTCATTTTAGACAGGTAGACTGTGGCTTAGAACTATTCACGACTTCTTATTAATCACAAGTCTTAAAAGAAATGGAGTCAAGATTGGCCCTTCATTTGGCTAGATAACAAAGCATACTGGGTTTTCACAACAGTCCTTGGTCATATTGACACAAAGGTCTGGCACATAATAGGTGTTGAATAAACAGTTGAGCTGTGAAGCCTAGTTTGAGGAATTTTTCATCTCTGATTTCCATTGGAAAACTTTCAGTGTATCTTTTGAAATGATCTTATAATTTAAGGGATTAAGAGAATTCAAATAGAAACTTAATGCAAACAAAAAATACCCTGCTGGATCCCCATTCATAAAAATAATGAAATCTGGCTTTGGTGTCATGACAATGGACACTCTGAGGAGACTCCTATCACTATGTATTTGCATTTCAGATGCTGTCTCTATGACTGCCACAGAAGACTTCCCATTTCAAAAACACATATTGCTCTTCAACATCTCCATCCCCAGACATGAGCTGATCACCAGGGCTGAGCTCCGCCTCTATATCTCCTGTCAAAATCACGAAGACTCCTCTCATGAGCTGAAAGGAAGCATGGCTATTTATGATATTATTGAGCGAGCAGATTCCTGGGATTGTTCCATGAGAATGAAGACATTTCTCGTATCCCAGGACATTCGGGATCAGGGATGGGAGACCTTTGAAGTCTCCAGTGCAGTGAAGCGGTGGGTCAGGGAAGACTCCACTAAGAGCAAAAATAAACTGGAAGTGTTGGTGGAAAGTCACAGGAAAGGCTGTGACAAGCTGGACATTAGCGTCCCCCCGGGTTCCAGAAACTTGCCCTTCTTTGTCGTCTTCTCCAATGACCGAAGCAATGGCACAAAGGAGACCAAACTGGAGCTCAGGGAGATGATTGGTCATGAGCAGGACAGCATGTTCAAGAAGTCCAAGAGCAATCCAAAGGAAAAAGGAGAGGGAAAAATTGATGAGGAGAAAATGGATGGCCACATGGCCACAAGACCTTTAGCCAGACAGAAAAGGAGTGCTGGTGCCAGCAGCCACTGTCAGAAAACCTCATTGCGGGTAAACTTTGAAGACATTGGCTGGGACAACTGGATTATTGCACCTAAGGAGTATGATGCATATGAGTGTAAAGGCGGTTGCTTTTCCCCCCTTGCTGATGATGTTACTCCAACAAAACATGCTATTGTGCAGACCTTGGTGCATCTCAAGTTCCCCACGAAAGTTGGTAAGGCCTGCTGTGTACCTACCAAGTTGAGCCCCATCTCCATCCTCTACAAAGATGACATGGGCATCCCTACCTTGAAGTACCACTATGAAGGAATGAGTGTGGCAGAGTGTGGGTGTAGATAATGCCTGCAATATTCTAGAATGGTTTTGATTGAGCTGGGATGAGGAAACCAGGGCTGGGGAGGAAGTTCTGAATGAGAGATTCTGTATCATGTCTGATGGGAATTGGGTCAATCAGCGTGCCAGTCTGGACAAAGGAAGAAAGTGCCACATCTACAATGCAAAGTTTAATCTCCTTATCATAATTCCCACCCTACACTATTGGTTTCAATTTCAGGACAAGATGTTGGTAAATGGACGTGGAGATTTGAGCTTCTGTGGGTTGTTAGAGTAGAAGTGGAGATGATGAAAGGTGACAAAAGAAATGTAGAGTGAGCAGAAAATTGAGCAGGAATGAGCTAGGATTGCATGAGAGATAAATGACATGCTTATGTAAACATGGAGTTGAAGGCTATGTAAGTGTTTTAAGAAAATTAAAGGAGTTTGGAAGAAATAGGCATACATGAATTATTTCAGGGAGTGAAAGGGAAAGAAATTAATATATGTTTTATGCTTGTCATTTCACGTATTTCCCACAACCTGATGAGATTTTCAGTATGATTTCCAACTTCTAGTATACAAATGAAGAAACAAAGTTTCCAGCCCACCCTTGCTGGAATCCAAACTCAAGACCTACCCGTATGTGTATGACAGTTCAGCATGCCACTTTGTTGCTAAAGAACAAGCATTTGGAGGCATGTGAGTGTTGAGGCAAGGTAGGACTGAAGTCCAGCTGGGATGCCCTAATATGTGCTGGACTGAACATTATGACCAGTTAATATGCTCACAGCCTAATCCTTGCTGTAATCCAGTAGCTAAATAGTTCTCATATCACCAAAAGCCACTGCAAACAACCCAAAATGCAAACTGCGGAAAAGAAAGGTTCTGGGTCACAATACTGTAAGCTACAGTGCACTCTAGTACTGAAGTTCTGTGTCCAGCTGCTTCCATGGGCTACCCTGTATGTCAGGAGACATTCACTAGTCATGAACTTGAGGAGAGGAGCACACTTCGTCTTGAGAGATGAGCTGCCTACAGAGGATCCTTCTCTATCTCCTTATCCTGCATCACAAGCTCAATCAACAAACACCCTGGGCTTCCCTACTGCAAGGACTCTAAAAGGAGATAGGGACTAGATTCAGATTTGTTTAAATAAATGTGTGGAAGACATCTTGTCCTTGTTTATATATTTGTAGTGTCCCTATTTACACCCCTTGATGGTATGTCCATGTGCAAGTAATAAGACAGATGTCTAACCTTCTTAAGTGAGGGCTTCCCAGCCTGCAATCTTGTCTGAAGCATGTTCTTTCTGTGCATGTGGGGTTTCTTGAGTAAGTCATGTCAAAATATCTGTCCCAGTCTTTGCCCTACTTGTGCTATGGTGGCTTAGTGGAGGAATTACACTATCACATAAAGGTATAAGGTTTAAATCCACCAGTTGCACCACAGAAGAAAGATAGGTCAACACCTCTTGTGCCATTTACTGCCTTCAAAAACCCACTGCCTTTGAAAACCCATGGGATCAACTATGAGTTGATTCCAATTCAACAGTGCACAACAATAACAACAGCCCTTATCCTTAGCTTGGACATGGGATCAGGCTTAACTTCCGTGGGCCCCAGTGGAGAGAAATGCTTTCTCTGTCTTTCATCCTCTCCTCTGACTCTTTTGACAACTCATGAAAGAGTGAGAAAGACTCTAGAAAATGATGAATATTCCATCCAGTGCCTTCTGATGGCTGGCCAGAGCAGAACACATGGGAGGCTTAGAGAGACCTGAACCATTTCCATTGACTGAAATTTCCAGTTCTATATATATGTAGAAAGAGAGAGAGTTAAAATTCCTTCACTGTTGTTGTTAGGCACCCTCGAGTTGAGTGCTACTCATAATAACCCTATGAACAAAATATCTGAACCTTATTCTATCTTGTGCCATCCTCACACTTTCTGAAACACAAGGACCCATTGAAGCAGTGATCCCATCAATCCACATGGTCAAGGGTCTTCCTTTCCTTTGTTGACCCTCTACCCTTCCTAAGATCATGTCTTTCTCCAAGGCATAGCCCCTCCTAACAACATGCCCAAAGTATGTGAGATGAAGCCTGCAAAGAGTACTCTGGCTGTACCCTCTCCAAGACATATCTGTTTGTTCTTATGACTGTCCATGGAATGTTGAGTTAGTTCTTTTCTCCAACACCACATCTCTAAGGCTTCTTCTATCTTCCTTATTCAATTTATATATATATAAAATTTGTGTAGTTTATTAAGCAATTAAAAAATATATATTGGCTTGTTAGCTTTTCACCACATTCCTTAAAGTCTTCACACATCTTCATCCACGAAATCATTAACCAAAAAGATGTAAGAAGTAGTCTTATCTAAGGACAGTGTAGATATTAACTTCTTACATTTTTAATTTCTTATATCCCAGGTCAGCAAATAACAGCTCGTGAGCAAACCAAATCTTGCCACTACAAATACATGCATA